TCCTCCTCCTCCTCCTCATAAACCCTGCTCCCTTCTAGCACTGATGATGTTACCTAGTTGGGTCATGAAACGTCTGCAAGGAAACCATGACGCTCAGAGTGCCCCAGGGTTGAAATCCCCTCAATGCAGGTCTTAAGGTGCCCTCGGTGTCCATCCACGCCAGGTGTAGTCAGGGCTGCCTGTTTGCAGATGGGTCTAGCCAAGTAGGGGTGAACCCCACCCCATGCCTGCCTTCCCCCCCTCCCTTTTGCCATCTTCACCCCAGCCCCTCTTCCGCAGGGAGAGCCGAGTTCGAGGTCGCCTGAAGAGGTGGCGGGACACCCGCCTGAATCTCAGTGAGGCTGCCAAGGGCAAGGGCAAGGGCAAGGCCAAGGCAAGGAAGGCAACTGCCAGCCGGACCATGACGGATTTCTTCCCGGTCATGAAACGCCCAACCGTCCTAAAACGCCCAAACAAGGTGAGGAAGAAGACGAGGGACGGTGTTCCCACCCACCTACCCCCAAAAAGAAGGCAGGGGGGCGGGAGGGGGGGCAGATGGGAGGGGTATGTGCTATCTACCAAATTGCCTTTGCCCCATGACCTCAGCCTGGGGCCCTGGGCGGTTCCAAAAACTCTCTCTCTCTCTCTCTGTGTGTGTGTGTGAGAGAGAGAGACAGACAGAGAGAAATGGATGAGAGAAAAAGAGATACAGGATAGATAGATAGATAGATAGATAGATAGATAGATAGATAGATAGATAGATAGATAGATAGATAGATAGATAGATAGATAGATAGATGGAGAGACAGAGAGTAATGGATGAGAAAGAGATATGATGATGATGATGATGGTGATGATGATGATGATGATGATGGTGGTGGTGGTGGTGGTGGTGGTGGTGGTGGTGGTGGTGGAAGGGACCTTGGAGGTCATCTAGTCCAACCCCCTGCTCAGGCAGGAAACCCTATACCATGGATGGATGGATGGATGGATGGATAGATGGATGGATGGATGGATGAAAAGAGAAGAGGGAGTGAGGGATGGAAGGATTGAAAGAAAGATAGCCAGATAATGATGGATAGGTAGGTGGGAGGATGGATGGATGGATGTAAAGAGAAGAGGATGGATGGAGGAAGGGAGAGTGAGATAGGAGAAGGTGGGAGGGAAGGATTGAAAGAGAAAGATAGAGAGATAATGATGGATAGGTAGGTGGGTGGGTGGGCAGGTGGATGGACGGATGGAAGGCAGATAAACAGGTGGATAGATAGGTGGGTAGGTAGATAGATTAAGCGCTGAGGGCTCGTTTCCAGAAGCCCAAAGGTCACATGCAGCAGTTGGGACTGCCTAGAGACCCGGGAATGCCAGCGAGGGAAGCAAAGGGTTGAAATGTACCAGCTGCCTGGACAGGGTAGGTGGGCAAAGGGAGTAGGCCAGGGGTAGGCCACCTTGGCTCTTTTATAACTCGTGGACTTCAACTCCCAGAATTCCTGAGCCAGCATGGGGGAACTATGGCCCCCTCATGACTGGTGAACTTCAACTCCCAGAATTCCTGAGCCAGCATGGCTCAGCTTGGAAACCTCTCCCTTTCCCCTCAGCACGGCTGGCTCAGGAATTCTGGGAGTTGAAGTCCACAAGCCATGAAGGAGCCATAATTCCCCCATGGTGGCTCAGGAATTCTGGGAGTTGAAGTCCACGGGTCATGAGGGGGCCATAGTTCCCCCATGCTAGCTCAGGAATTCTGGGAGTTGAAGTCCACGGGTCATGAGGGGGCCATAGTTCCCCCATGCTAGCTCAGGAATTCTGGGAGTTGAAGTCCACCAGTCATGAAAGAGCCAAGGTTGCCTACCCCTTTGCAGCCTGCTCTGCAATCCAGTGTAAACAAGGTTAATGCTCACGAAGTGTTGCGTGCTGTTTGAACTCAGCCCCTGGGTCTGACCTGCTTCAGGGGTGTTCGGAGGTGCCCTTCCCTCTTTTATACAGTCACCCACCCGTCACTCTCCCAGGAAGAAGAAGCAGAAGTGCCAGGAAGAAGAAGCGGAAGTGCCAGGAAGAAGAAGCGGAAGTGCCAGGAAGAAGAAGCGGAAGTGCCGGGGGTCGTCTGAAACAGCCCCAGGAATTGGAAGGAGCAGTTCCCTCCCTGGCCCATTCCTTGGTGCTCCCTGAACTTGGCATTTTTCCTGCAGACGTTTCGTTACCAAACTAGGTAACGCCATCAGCGCGCCATCCGTTCCCTTTGCCTTGCACTACTAGACGCCTCGTCTGGTTCCGGGAAAGTTCTCTGCTGTCCTTCAACACATACAACCGTCGACACAAGCATTGCATCTTGACAGCTGAGCAAAGTCAGCCAAGAGGTTGATGATGCCACCTTACGAATTAACCATGGTTCGATAGAATATTTGCGGCCGAGGGTTGGGCTGTGGGGTCCCCCGGTGCTCTCTGAGCTTGGTGGGGTTTTTTTGCGGACGTTTCATAACCCAACTAGGTAACGTTATCAAGGCTAGAAGGGAGTGGAGTTTGCGGAGAAGAAGAAGAGGAGGAAGACGACTGTGGGGTGGTCCTTGGTGCTCTCTGAGCTTGGTGGTTTTCTTGGAGACATTTCATTACCCAACTAGGTAACAGTGCTAGAGGGGAGGGGGAGCTGTGTAGAGAAGGAGAGGAGGGGGCTATGGGGTCCTTGGTGCTCTGCAAGTTTGGTAGTTTTCTTGCAGCCGTTTCATTGCCTAACTAGGTAACATCATCAGTGCTAGAGGGGAGTGGTGTTTATGGAGAGGAAGAGGGAGGAGGAGGACTCTGGGGGTCTATGTTTCATATTGTGCATTTTCATGGCCTTCAGTCACCTGGATCAGGACACGGAAAACTACCTTAAGAGAGAATTTCTACGTTTTCCTCCTGTCAGGGGGAGATCTTGACATTGTTCTCCTCACCTGTTTAAATGACAGGTGGGCTTCTGCATAATCTATCTTAGGAAAATGCTCTGAAGGTTTGCCAACCTGTGGCCCCATTAAGCTGATGCATAATAAACGAGTGCATAAAACCTGCAATTTTATCTCCTTGGAAAAGAGGGGAAAGATCAGGCTTACCTCTTTCACGGTTCCCCTCTTTTTAGAATTTTTTACGGTTTCTTTTTTCCACTTGAATCAATCTCTAAAGGCAGCAGGCTGAAAAATAAAAATAAAAAGTCAGAATGATGGACACTCCTGATTAACAACGCACGAGGTCTCTTCCAGGGTATTTTGGCAAAATTTAGGGCCAAATCAGACCGACCGTTGGATTTCCTGTTTTAAACATTGGGACAATCCATTGTGGCATGTTTCCTTGTCCCAACAGTATTTGATGTATCATGAAACCAACCAAGCTGGCTGGGTGCTTCTAAAAATTCCTCCTAAATTGTAATTTTTTTTTAACATGGCAGGAAGAGAAAGCTACTAAATACATGGCAAGGTTATTCATATTGGTTATATCAGTTTGAATTATACCGAAATATCAAATCAGATTTAATTTTGTCCCCATGTTAAGAAATAGGTTATTGGATTTAGAAGCTCGTGAACGGAGATTTGGGTGGTCATCTTTGTTATCTGGGGTGTGACACAGCTAACGTAGATTTTTAAAACCGTTATGTCAGGTCGGCTATTCTTAGACTATAGAATAAATAGAAATAAAGATTCTGCCCCCAAACACCTTTGTGCCTTTCAGCTCGAGAAATATTTTATGGACGAGGAATGATAAGTAAACATAAATGGTTAATTTATCCTGCTGTATTTTAATTTTCTCAAGTGAAGTTTCGTTCTCCGAGCTTGTGGGTTGGTTTCTCAAGTAGATCGTAAAATAAAATGTAGAGAAGATTTAACAATAGAAGCATATCCTTGTCAGTAGTTTATTTTTTTATGTCAAATTGTTAGAAAAACTTAAGATGGATAAAATATTTTAAGAGTTTTGAACCATGTATGTAAGTTTGAAACATAATTATGTATGAACGATGAATATGTTATTTTTAAAAGGTATAGACTTTCATTCACACTTGAAACGGAAGAATGAAGGAATGAAAGAAGGCGTGATAACACGCACTAAAAATTTGGTCACAATATACCAAGGGAACAATGGGAAAATATGTGGTTGAAAGGATTAAAAGATATATTATGTCCTCACCTTAAAAGAGATTTTTTTTATAAAATGATGTATTGTTGATATTTGTCACCAGAGAAATTGTCTAGAATGTATAAAGATACAGGCAGTCCTTGACTCGTAACAATTGAGCCAAACATTTCTGGTGCTATATAAAACATTTGTTAAGTGAGTTTTGCCCCACTTTATGTCCTTCCACAGGTTGTTAAGTGAATCCTTGATATTGTTACGTTACTAACAAAGTTGTTAAATGAATCCAGCTCCCCCATTGACTTTGCTTGCCTGAAGGTCGCAAAAGGGGATCACATGACCCCAGGGGACGCTGCGACCGTCATAAATATGAGTCAGTGGCCAGGTGTCTGAGTTTTGATCACGTGACTCTGAGGGACGCTGCAAAGATTGTAAGTGTGAAAAACGGTCATAAGTTACTTTTTTCAGTGCCGTTGTAACTTTGAACTGTTGTGAGTTGAGGACCACCTATATTTTGAATCTTTGGCAGAAATGTAAACACCACGAAGGAACGTTTTATTGTGTTTGATGGCTATGTAAAAACACTAAAAAAAATTGGAATATACGTATATATATATACATACATACATACACACACACACACACACATTTTTTTAGTGTTTTATATATTTATATATTTGTATATTAATTCAAAAGATTTTAAAGGCTACAGTTGAATCCAGAGCTTTTTCTTTTGGGACTAGCGGCCAGGCTATTAGGGAAAAAAAAAGTCCTGGCACTTTGTTTTTGTGTGTAACAACTGCAGCAAGACTATCATGTGTTCAAAAATGGAAAGGTGCCGCAGACCCACAACAGAGGAACAAATGGCG